AAATGCAGTGCCCCAGGCAGTGACGGTCCAGGATGAAAACAGGAACACCAACAGATACTCATTTAACACTCGTTCATTGTGGCATCGTAAACAATGGCCAAAAGGCGGAATCAGCCTAAATGTGCATCAACAGATGAACGGATGTTTTCCTTCCTCCTAAAATAAAACTCCTACAGGTGGAAACCACGGGTAGTTATAGGGACTTCCCATCTAGTGCATGGTATGCAAAGGAGGGGGCCGGGCGCTCCCGGTGTCTGTGTGACACTGGTCCCCTTGCTGTTTTCCAGGAGAGGCACGCCGCGGAGGTGCGCAGGAACAAGGAGCTCCAGGTTGAACTGTCTGGCTGAGGGGATGGAGGAGATGACACGCCCACTACTAGTAACTCCCCCTGCCTATATTATAACGGATCATGTGATATCAGTATGGGAAGTGTATGACATGGTTTAAAAAAAGAAAAGAACTCATTATAAAAAATCAAAAATACTAATAAAAAAGTCAATGCGGTCTCTTTGCAGAATGTTTTGCTTGATGTTTAAAAAATTACCTTGGATCTTATTTTGTAAATACTTACATTTTTGTTAAAAAATACAAGTATTGCATTATGCAAGTTATTTCATAATCTTACATGTCCTGTAACAGGCTTTTGATGTTGTGTCTTTCCACTCAAATGAATTTGCTAAGTCTGTTCTTCTTGAAGCTCCCCACGTCGAACTCCATCCCCTGCCCTTTTCATTCCAACAGAAAAATGAGGTCAATAGACAGTCCATGGTGCTAGCAGCCCACCATTGCCTAATGACCTAAACAACTTTGCCAACCCTGAGCTTGATGCAAACCATCCTAGATCGCCCCAGGTATGATCGCGCTGTCGGAAACCCCACATTTGTTGACTCACCATCTACTCAACCCGTTAGAAACCACAATACCAGGCTAAGGAAAACCCCCATGATAGCGTTTCCTTCTGCTTCTCCTGGATGCTGTGCTACAAGTGTGCTCTGGCTTTAGAAAGGGATGGATGAGAGGGCAGATCTCAATCTGGGTAGAAGCACAAAACTGTCCCTTTGACGGCGCTGAACCCAAACCCAAATGGTGTACGCAGCCGCAAAGGAACGAACGTTCTTCATGAAGTGGGCTTAATTCTCTACTCTTAAGTTCTGTTGGTAGAATGAACTCATTCATGTGTCGGGTGGCTTATTTGTGGGTGCCATGATCGATGATGTTCATGTGAAGTCTGACCTGTAGTACAAGTCGATGACTAGGCTGAATATCCTTCCGCTTGGAAACTGCGAGCCAACAAATCAAACGCACTGTGGACTTTTCATTCAAGCTGGTCTTTCCTCCCCAGTGTGAGGCAACCCTGCCCCTTCCAGAAATAACTACTTCCGTCCGAGGGCTGATGCAGGGCAGGGGGCCAGGCAGGGCATTCATGCCAATCAAGAGACCCACCAGATACCCACTATGAAGGAACTAGTCTCCGTTTTGAAGTCGATCCCCCACCCCCCAACTCCTGAACGTTGCTGCCTGCATATTTACTCTTCATTAGTGCTATTTTCCTGTATGTCATTGTGAGCAAGCTGTGATTAATAAAGAATTGGAGTTCTGTGAACTAATAAAGCTTTGGTCTGTTCTCTCGCTCCTTCGCATGTCTGGCCCTGGAGTTCAGATCTTTAAGGGGTGGCCATCCCATGGAGACCATCCCACCAGCCAAGAGACCATCGTCAGCGTGTGAGAGAAACCCTTCTGAGCAGCAGGCAGCATCTTTTGGTCTGACCCCCTCAGACAGGCCCTCCCAGCAGGAAAGGGCATCAGCCTCTTCTCCTTAAACACACTCAGGACTGAACAAGATACCAAAGGTTCTGACCAATAATTCTGAGGACAAGGGCCCCCTTCAAAGTCCTTGGAAGGTTCCTGGCACCATCTCATTTGCCTGACCTCAAATTCCCCCAGGTGGCCCAAAGGACACATTCCCTAGCCTAAGCCATCTGTTAAAATGTGATCCCTCCCCCCCCTCCCTGGCCCACTGCTGAGTTTTGCACTGCCAGTAAAGAAGCTGAACATACTGCATACACAGACACAGCAGGAGCCTGTCCGTGACCCAGATGGATTGGACAAGACCAAAGGAAACACATCCAGGTTGACCAAAAAAAGTCATAAATAATTGAAACCATGGCGATTAGTGAGTAAGACCATTGGCTGGTGTCCACCGAGGCGCTCATAAGCCAAGTGTAGAGTAGAGACCACTTGGTCTCTATCCTTTATATCCTGGGGTTGTGAGGGACTCTAACACTTGGCCAACGGGTCTACCTGCTAAAAAACAAGAGCTGCCTTATCTTTCAGTGGAAGCCATTAGAAAGTCTAGTTAACCAAAATAAGCTGTATTTTCATTGTGATTTTATAGAACTTACTTACAAAGCCATTCCAGAAGTGGCTATTACTGTACTAGATAGATGCTTTGATAAGCCCGGGACACTTGAGAACCAGTGAACACAAGAAGCTCACAGCCTGGTATCTCATTTGGACCCCAAGCTAACAAACAGGCTGTTTTGGTTAGCCTATGGATTATACTTAGAAGAAACACATAGTTTTACTAAGCTTTTTGAAATATAAAAAGTCATCAATAAGCCACTTAAACTACTTTGTGGGCCCCTAAATGTGAACTGCTGACTCATCCAACTACCTAATTTCAAAAGTGAAGAAGCTACGGGACACCGAAGTAAGTGATTTGCTCTGGGTCGCAATACTCGAATCCCAAGATTTTTCTCCTCAGGAATAACTCCTCAGCACGTTATCTCCAAATCTTGTCACATGAGTAAAGATGAGTTACGTTTATGAAGCTTCCCTGATTTCACAGGACCAAACCAACCAACCAACAAAAACAAAACACTGCCTTTGAGTTATTCCAACTCATAGGGACCATTTAGGGCAGAGGGGGAACGCTCCTCTGGGTTGACAAGGCTGTACCTCGTTCCAGGAGCAGACAGCCTCAGGTTTTCCTTGGTGGGTTCAAACCGATGGCCTGACACTTCTCAGCCCAACAGGTAGCCCACAGGAGGTAGCATTCAAAATGTGACGATTCAGAGTCATCTGTTATTGGATGCTGGGGTCTAACCCAGTCCCGATTGCTTAGCTTGGTCCTGAAGGTCAAGCATTTCTTACAGGTCCTTAAGTAGTGCAGGTGCTGCTGTCTGCAGACCTCACAGGAGAGGCCCCACCATAAACGATAACTTGGATTCAGGTGTGCGATTCTCATTCCCTTCCCCGCTGAGAGTACCTGTTTTAGCCAGGATATCTTTTCCGGAGGTTAACAGAAACTCATTCAATCTTTTGCAAAAAATTGAGGTGGGGTGCCAAGGAATCCAAGAAGGGGAAGGAGATGAAGTGTACCTTGCCGGATACTAAAACAATAGAAAAGTGCGCCTAGAGGCTGCGCAGAAGAAATGGGTGAAGTCAGAGAGCCACTGCTTGACATCTCTGAAACAGCATATTATTTCAACAGCGCTTTTCAAGATCTGTAGGAAGCTCCTGGCCCGCTAAGAAATGAGCGGGGCATTGACTTTCCATGAGTTCTTTATCCAGTTTGCTAGCCTGGTTCTACTTAGAGATATTTTATTCAAAAGTCTTGGTTTCCTCCCCATGCTGTGCTCACATTGTGTACATATCGAACTTTGAGACACCTGGTGAAAACTCACAAGGTCCCATCGGTTTGATGATTTGCCCTCTTCTCCTATCTCTTCCACACCCCAAAAATGTATGGGACAACTGAATGTTGGTAAATCCCATTCTCTGATAAGAACCCTGCTTTCGTGTGATGGCACCCACCTTCACAATATTCCCAAGGAGAAGAGAAAGGTAAAAATGTGACCCGCCCCATCGACTCCCTTCCCACTGGAGGGGAGAATGAGAACAGGGGGTGGCGGCCTCCAGTTGGCAGAGCCAAATGACCGGTCACCTGTATGTTTCCCACCTTGGAGGAGACCGCCGTCCTGGGCCTCTGTTCATCCTTGGGAACGGCTCAGACAGGCAAAGCTCAGTCCCCAGACTCCCCCTGGCCACAGAGTCTTTGGCCACGCCCCCCGGTCCACACCTCCCACCGCCAATTGGTCATCAAGTGACATCAATTTGGCCTCAACTGGTCCCTCATGGCTTACGTCTTTTCGACGTCTACAACCACCTGAAATCCCTCCGGCTGCTCTAACAGGTATCATTTTCTTCTACCTGCAGCCACCTCTTCACTCCGATCAAATCTCCCCTTTATCTACAGGATAAAACCCGTATCCCCGACAGGGCACCATTCCACTGTTTCTTCAAGTATGTTACTCTCCTGGGGCAAAATATTCGCTCTGTCAGGCCAATGGTGACATCTCAGGTGTCTAGCACACGCCATCTTCTCTACAAAATCAGTTGGGAAAAGTAGGGTCACACTGTAAAGGAAACACCAAAACCATCAAGGCCGCGTGTCATTGAATGGTGGTGGAGCTGCCCCTAACTGGGACCCTGGGGCCAGGGTGGCCGAGGGGCAGGGAGGCCAGGACAAACCACGCCCTAGCTCTCACAGAGCTGCTGCCCAGAAGTGACTCCGGTCACATTTCATTGGCCAAAGCAAGCGAGCTAAGCACATTTAACTCTAAATGGGCAGGAAAGTGCAGCTCTGTCATAAGCCAAGAAGGAGGGAAGCCAGACGGGGCTGGGAAATGGACAGCACGGATGAATACCACCCTGAGAGGGAAAAGGCAAAAACCAAGCTCCCTGCCGCTGAGTGGACTTCAACTCCAAGCAATCCCACAGAACGGGGTCGACCTGCTCCATAGTCTCCGGGGTCTTCATCTGTGCAGGTGCACTGTGTCATTTTCCTCCTGATAAACCCAGAATGCAAACTCACAACGATTCCGTCAAAGCCAACTCATCAAAACCCTATAGGACGGGGTCGAACTGCCCCTGTGAGTGTCTGAGACTGGCTCTTCATGAGAGTGGAAAGCCCCATCTTGCTCCCTTTCTACGAACACCCGACTCACCAGTTCTCGCTCATAGTGACCCCCTAGGAGGGGGGAGAGCTGTCCGGGTGCATTTCCGAGACTCTCACCCTTTACTGGAATAGAAAGCCGTGTCTTTCTCCCTTGGAGATAGGTGGTGGTTTTGAACTGCTGACCTTTTGGTTAGCAGCCCAATGCGTAACCACTGTGCCACCCGGGATCCAGTTTCTACTGATCCTGGGTTCAAATTGCTGATCTGTCCATTAACAGCCCAGTGCCGAAGCCACAGTATAGCAGAGCGCCTCACTACCAATATCATCAAGTCGGTTCTGATTCGTAGAGACCCCAACCAACTACAGGGCACGGGTTGTAAATCATTGCTGGATCAGTAAGCCTTATTGGCTCATACACGTTCCTACGTGCAAGGGATACGCACACAACTGAGGTGTGGGGTGGCTTATTGTCATGGTAATCGCTAATTAATTTCATATCTGAAAGGTTGCCAGGAAGATTAAATGTGGTACGATAATGGCCTTAGCACAGTACCTGGAGTATAGTAAATGCTCAAACCAAACTAAACCCACTGCCATTGAACCAATTCCAACTCATAGCTACTCCGGCAAGTTTCCAGGACAGCCTCTCGTCTTTCTCCTTCAGAGCAGAGGGTAGATGTGAACTGCTGAGTTTGCAGCTAGCAGCACTGAGTAACGGTTAATTATCAACATGTGTCACACAGTATTACAGATGCCTGGTGGCACTGTAAGTTAAGCATTGGGCTGCTCTCCACAAGGGCAGCTCTCTAAACCCTTCAAGGGTACCCTGAGAGAGGGGCATGGCTGTCTGTTTCTGTGAAGATCTTCAGACTCAGAAGTCGTCCACAGGGTCACTTTCCGTTTGAATCTACTGGATGGCAGTAGGCATGGTGTTTTGAGGGTCACCACACTATATTATAATTCCTAAAGGAGCCCCAGGGGCGTAATGGTTACAAGTTGGACTGCTAACCACAAGGTCAGCAGTTTGAACCCCCAACCACCCCTAAGAGAAAGACAAGACCTTCTACTCCCGTAAACAGTTAGTTTCAGGAACTCCCCGTTCTACCCTCTTCTGCAGGGTCAGTGACTCAGTACTGACTAGATGGCCGTGAGTATTGTAATTTATATTTAGTTCAAAGGCAGGTCTATAATTTGTTGTTGAAGTCCATGTACTTAGAAAACATTCAATTCACACACACACTTACACACTAGGTAAGTGAATGAACAAAATCAACTAAAGGATTCAAACAAGAAAAATACTTAATATAGTGTTTAGCATGTGTAGACACTTTACAAATATAAATTTAATCTTTTCTCCTTCCTCTAGAATCTGGTAGTGTTTACTTGTTTTAAGATTATTTGAGCTTGGAATTTAGCTTTCTATTATGCAAAGAACCATTTACCTGATCAGAAAAATATGCTTCTGTGGGAAAAAAAAAATTTTTTTTAACCTTTGAACATCGCACCCAGGAGACAAAACGGGAAAAAAATTATTTGGGGCAACTCTTTGGCCAGAAATTTAACACTGGCCCTTTCAGCTGCATACTCTCAAATCAATCCCAATTCCCAACAGCCCCCACAACTAAGGCAGCAGCAATTCGGGGTTTTCGAA